TTATTTGTTGAAACTGTTCTTCTGATTTGATTTGAAACTGTCTCATTGCTCTCTGTTTATCAATAAAACTATAAAAAGAAAAAAAAACTTACAATTTTTATGAAATGAGATAGGATATAAATAACATGCAAGCTGAGAGAAACAAGAAAATAACATCCAGATTATGTGAAAGTATTTTCCAGATCCTTCTATTATTTATTTATTAATTAATAAAATGGTATTAGTTATTACTGAAGACATGGGGAGTCAGTTTGGTCTGAGTGGGAACACAGCTTGAAAAGTTAAATAACACCAGAGAAGACTAACATGAGAGGTATGAAAGTAGTACTTTGGTACTCTACAACAAAGAGCTGTGAAACAATCTGAGGCAGGGCTAGTTCCCGAGCTGTCTGCTAAATATGCTCTTCATAGTTTCATAGAGGTATATCTGGAGGTATGAAAAAATCTCAAACATTGTGTTACTATCTCTCTAATTCTTTCCCCCGACATTCATGATAATGAAACTGGGTAGAAACAAAACCCAAATGACATCATCACTATGATGCAAGTCACACGGTATAACTTATATAGTAAAATGTGTTTCCTTGATCGAAGATGGAAAGTGATAGTGGCGGGGTGGCGAGCATCTCGTGCCTGACTTTGGTACTCTACAACAAAGAGCTGTGAAACAATCTGAGGCAGGGCTAGTTCCCGAGCTGTCTGCTAAATATGCTCTTCATAGTTTCATGCCCACTGTCTCATGGACTTGTCCAACATGGCCAAGTTGTACAGGCCTTCATAGGTAAGTGGATGAAACTTGAAAAAGCAATGTTAAGTGAGGTAAGGCTGACATACAAGCTCAAATAGCTCATGGTTTCTCTTATACAAGAAACACAAAGAACAAAATAGAAGATAAATAAATAAGAAAAAGATATTCAAATACTCCCCCAATCTACAAAATTCATTGTTTTAAAAATATTTAATTATAAATGCTCACATGTTCAATATATATTTTCAATACATATGCTAATTGGCTTCATTTATATTACTAGTTTATCTTAGTTCACTGACAAGAAAGATTTGTGAGGTTTTTGTCTAAGAACTTTTTATGTCTTGTATCAGGTACTTTAAGTAACTACTTTGAAGATAATGATGCACAGTGTAATAATTATTGTTATTCTCTTATTATTTGATAATGAAATTTTTTCAGGTCTCCCATAAAATAATACTTTTGAAAACTGTACTCTTAGCATTGTTCAACGTCCTTCTTTATCAGTGATGCTTAAAACAAGTTTCACGGTTCTGATCGAGGAAAAGTTTCATTTAAGCATTTCTTTATTTTAAATGAAATCTATTCTATATAGGGTTATAAAGTCTTTACTTCTTGAGAAATATCTATGCAGGTAGAGAGAAAATTCATAACTAGGTGCAAAATGATATTGAAGTACATCTGTGGGTTCAGAGCATGGTTTCCCGACCTTGGCACAAGTGACATTAGGGACAAGATAATTCCTTGTTTTGGGGGAGGTATCCTGTCTTATCCATTATTAGATGTTCAGCAATATCCATGGCCTCCACTAGCACAAGCAGCGACAACCCATTTCACCAACTTAACAGCCAGTAAATATTCATTAATGTCACCAGACCTTGCTAAATATTCCATAGGGGCAAAAGCATAGCAGATTGAGAATTGTCAGATGGCAGTCTAATTTCTTACATAAACTACAGATACTTTACTCATAAACTGGTTCTGGGAAGTCTAATAGGTGGACCAAATTAAACAGGATTTACTCTTTATTACAAAATTCTATGCAATCATTTTCTTAAATTGCTTATTACCAGAGTATGCTTTAAAAACATCATTTCAATATTTAGAAAAAATACAATACTAGCTACTTCCTTTTTCATAACTTTAGAGTTATACAACACACTATTCTAGCCTAATCATCTCTAGCCAGGTACTTCTAGTGTCTAGTTTATACTAAGTGTAAAAAATAAAGCAGTTATTTTCATCTCCTTATAAAGATTTTGAAAAGGATCATTTTCTAATTTTTCTCCATACTTTGAATCACTAAGCTCTATTTGTATTTGAACTTTATAAATAAGGCAAGTTCTTCATAACCTCTCATTACACATTGAAGTATTAAGTTATTTCTTGAGCATTATTCATTTACTTTAAAAAATTTCATTTTACAATTTGACCTTTTATGTCTACAACATACTAGTTCATATTAGTATAAGCCTCTATTATAAATTGTTTTATTATTTTTCATTTATTTAGGTCTTCCACTATTCTTAAAAATCTGTGCTTATTTCTTGAGGGGTCCCCAGACTCATAGCATATCAATCTACTGCTCTAAGTCTTTTCCTTAGATTATCAGTGTATGACATAGAACAAAAATTAATTTAAAAGACATACTTGCTCCAGTGAACTTTTCCTTCCAGTGTCTGCATCTCACCGAGGATGGCAAGGAGAAGGGAGGATTTCCCACATCCTACCTGACCCACAATCATGGTTAGCTGACCTGGAGAAAAAAGACAAAGGATAACAAGAGTGTGAGAAGGAATTTTCTTAGCAAAAACAAATTTAGAAAAGGCTACTTTTTCACAATTGATGGACTGGTTTGGTTTCCAGCAATAAAACATTCCAAACAGCTTCTTTCCTTGATACACACGTCCAGATCTCAGGACCCTTCCACCCCTCCGGACCCAGCCCTGGTCCGGCTTGTGAGTGAGAACTTTGAAATAGGAAAGAAAAAATAAAATATGTAGATCTCACTTTATTATTTTTAAAATTGAGAACAAAAGAGAAAAATTAAATAATTTCATAAATCATATATATTAATTTCAAATTTATTATTCAATTCACTGAGGAGAAAGTTTGACTTAAGTTGATAATTGAAATGAAAGTAATGTGAGCTACACCACCAAAGTACCTCCCTAATTTCTCACTTTAACTTGCACAGATAACAGAAAACCTTGCTATACAGTTTAGGCTGGGATTGAATTCACTACATAGCCCAGGCTGTTCTCAGCCTCCTGGGTGCCAGGATTACAGGCACGCACCACTCTCTACCTAGCACTGGGTTTATTCCTAAGTAGTTTAATCTTTTAAATGTTATTTGAAGTGGTATTATTCTCTTAATTTCATTTTTGGATACTTTAGTGTTATTATATAAATATTTAGGAGTACATTTTTCCAAGGTAAGGAAAGACTTATACATGAAAAATTCTAAAACTCTGATCAAAGAAATTGAAGAAAATACAATAAATGTAAAGACATCCCATGTTCATCAATTTGAGGAAATAATACTGTTAAAATGTCCATACTTCCCAGAGCGAGCTACAGATTCAATGTAACCTCAATCTAAACTTCAATTTATATTTATATTTTATAGAACTTTAGAAACTGTAAAAATTCATATGGAAGCAAAATAGACCTCAACAAGCCAAATCAGTCTATAGAATGAACAAATCTGGAGGTATCATATTTCTTGACTCCAAAATACAGTGCAAAGCTACAGAATAAAAAACACTCTGGCACTTCCATAAAGGTAAACACACACACACACACACACACACACACACACACACACACACACCCCAGTCAATGGAACAGAATAGAAAGCACAGAAATAAAACCTCATGTGTATAGGTAACTGATCAGGTTGTCAGGATTATACAATAAGGAGAGAATTTCTTCAACAAGTAATGTTGAGAAAACTGGATATCTAAATGCCAAGAAATGAATTTGAACTGTTATATTTTATCATACACAAAAAAACTCAAAATAGATATCCAGACTTCATTGTTTGACTTGAAACTATAAAAATCTTCAAAGAAAGCCTAGTGGGAAAGCCTCCTGATATCAATTTTAGTAAAAAGTTATTGGATTTGATATAAAAAGTATAGGCAACAAAACAAAAAATATAGAACCACAGTACCATGAAAATAAAATCCTTCTGTACAGCAAAGAAAATAACTGAGATAAATATTTGCAAACTATCTGATAAGAGGATAAGATCAAAAACATAAAAGAATCATTTATGAACCAATAGCAAAACAAACTACAAATAACCCAATTAAAAATGCATGAAGTAACTGATACTTCTCTAAAGACATAGAAATGGTCTCAAGGTGTATAAAAAGGTTTTCATCAAAGCTAATTATCAGAGAAATGCTGATCAAAGCCATAATGACATATCACCTATTTTTAGGATAGGTATTATTAAAAAAAAGATAGCAATTGTTAGCAAGGATGGGATAAACTGAAACCCTTACACATAATAGTATGTAGAAAATAGCGTCTAAAATTGGGTATGGAGAGTCGTGTATGTAGACTTGGGTATATAGAATTGTGCAGTGCTTATGGAAAACAGTATGGAAGTTCTTTCTATTTTTATTTTTAGTTGTTGTTATTATTATTATTATTATTATTATTTTGGTATTTTTTAGGGAAGGGTCTACAGGTGTACAGGGTCTTACTACTAGATCAGACCCATAGTGATCTGACTGTTTATAACCTCCTAAGAGCTGGGATTACAGGTGCACAACACCATGCCCAGTCTGAATTGCCATTTTAGTGCATCCCAGGGGCAGGGCCCACACAGCAGCCCGGGGGATCAAGCCTTCAGCCCCTGTGCCCATTTGCTGACACTTTAACCCACTGACCTATTTGTCCGGCCCTTGGAAGTTCTTTTTAAAAATTAAAAATAGAGGTACCACGTGATCCAGAATCTCACTTCTGAATGTCCATAGAAAATAATTAAAATTACAATTTTAAGAATATAGCTGCATTCCCCTGCTCATTGTAAGTGTTATTTACAACACCCAAGATACAAAATAACTCTATCTATTCACCGATGGATGAAGAAAGCATAGAGCATGGGATAATATGGAACATTATTCAGCTTTGAAACAAAGAAAATCCTACCATTTCAACAACATGGGTGGAGCTAAAGGCCATTGTGCCATGTGAAACACACCAATAACAGAAAAACGAATTCTGTTTGTTTCTACTTCCATGAGACACTGAAAATAGTCAAATTCACAGAGTCAAGAAACAGAATCATGATTTCCAGAGCAGACAGGAAAGCCAAATAAGGTAACGTTGCTCAATAACAGTGAAATTTCAGTTATGAAATTTCATCTCAGATGAAAAAGTCCAAGCGATCCACTGTTCAACACAACATCTGTCATTACTAATACAGGGTAGTGCACTTTAAAATATTTTACACATCTCATGTTAAGTGTGCTTCTTAGAAATAAAACCCAGCACAACACAAAGACATTTTTTGGAAGTTATTATATATTTAGTTCCTGAATTGCCATGCTAGTATCATAAGCATATACATACATTCATACTCTTCAAAAATGTAAATATTAAACACATGCCACTTTATAGATTCATTACACCTCAATAAAACTTAAAAGTCGATATAGACCCAGATGCATAGATAAAATTATTGAATAGTGGAAACTTAATTTCCTTGAAAGCTTTATTAACTCTCTTCTGAGTAAGTAAATAATTTTCTTGTGCACTGTTCCTTTACACTTTGTTCAAACAAAATGAGAAATTAACTACTCCACTTTTACATGGCCCCAAATCAACAAGAAAATATCACCTGTCCCAAAGTGCAGAAGCTGTTTTGCAGGGCAGGTAGTGACACTTTTACTCATAAGCCACATGGCAAAGTATATGACAGTGCAGTGTATGATAGGCCTTTCAAAGTTCACTTTTAGTTAAACTCAGTTATCCTGGAAAACCGCGGTTTTTATCATTAACAATTATAGAAATGCATAACAAGGAACTCTTACCTGTGGGAATTCGGATGTCTATATTGGACAGTGTGGCTAAACCACTGCCCCATGAAAAGTATCCATTTGTGACCTAAAAATAAGAATATAGAAATGCAACTATATATGTGGTAGTAGAGAATAATCCCAAATACAATACATTTTTTTAAAAAATGAAACAATATAAGCTAGAACACAAATTAATAAAATTTTAACTTTGAGTTAGAACTTTAGTGATAAATAAAAACCAAAAGGAAGTAAAAGAAGAGTCTTTCAATTACTGTGAAGAACATTTAAACTCAGAGTGATTTGCATTGAAAATGTGGGATTATTGGACTATTTATATGTATATAGTTTAAAAAGGTAGTCATCTCAAATATTTTCCAAGGAAGTCTACATGGACTTTTTTTCACTAGTAGATAGTGTCCAAAAATCCTAGTGATGCAAAATGAACAGAAACAACCACAAGGGCTGGCTAGATAGCTCAGCAGAGTAAAGCAACATCTTAAGCAGGTGCAGGGACACAGGGTTCATCCCTGGTGTGCAGTACTGGCCTCTCTCCTAGGGTGTACTAAGATGGCGGTTGAGACTGGTCAGGTGGTACACACCTGTAATCTCAGCTCTCGGGAGGCTGAAAACAGGAGGATCACTCTTAGTCCGATCTGTGTAGTGAGACCCTGTAGACCCTTTGCTAAAATACATTTAAGAAACCATAAATTATGACAACAAAATAATTTTATTAACTGAGAATGGCTCTGTAATGAGTTAGCTGAATTGTGTAGATTTAGCACTGTTTATTGAAATTAAAGGAAAGAGTAAAAGAATGGGAAATAAGCACAGAAATGAGGGAATTGTGCTTGGTGGCATAAATATCTGCAATCAGCAGCAATCACAAATCCTGTATTCCTCTCCACTGGCTATTTGTTTTAACAAGTTCTAAGTGAATTTGTCTTGTGAACTTGAACTTGTTTTACAGTTACAAAAACAGAAAATGAGAGGAAATATAGCTGAGTCCAAGAATGAGGAGGGTGAAGTGGATGCAGTAGAGCGGGGAAATGACAGTGCCTGAAAAACAGGGAAAAATGCAGCTACAGCTCCTTCACAAGTCAGTATTTCATTTCAGAGGCACAAAGGATGAGCTGTTTAAGGACATTATTATCTAGGAATTTCACAAATGGACTGGTGTCATCTAAAGTGGCACTATACATCATCTAGAAAGCTCTGGATGAGCTCACTGAAAAGAGTGAAAGCCTCTCCTTGAAAAGTCTTCTCTGGGTTTTTTTCTGTAGGCTTTCTCCAGTTCATAAAATGTAAAGCATAGCATCCAATACCATCACATAGCTATGAATGAAATGAGTCAACGAAGGAAGGTGAAGTGAAGACAAAATTGCCGATTGCTTACAACTACAGACTAAGTGCTGCACTGGCCGAAGCACTGTACCTGGACTGGTGCAGGCTACCAAGAAGTTACTACACACCATCCTGCACACTTTGGAGCTTGCAATCTGTCAAGTAAAAGTATAAGCTATACAGTTTCGTGACAGGTATGGTGCTAGTCCTTTAAGATGACATTGCCTAAGCCTGGTGTGGTGATGTACATATGTAATTACAGACCTCTGGGAGGCTGAGGCAGGGTACTGCAAGTTCAAGTTCAACCTGGTCAAACATCAATTTAACAAGAATCTGTCTCAAAATTAACAGTTAAAAAAGGGATAGGGAGGTAGCTCAGACCAAATGTCTGTGTGTCTCAGAACTTAGCTTGTCATTAAGCAGCGCATGACTGCTAAGTTCAAGAGAGCATGGGCCAAGTACCAACAGCAGTTCAGGAAAGAAAAAAAATGACTGAGATGAGTCAAAACCTTTTTGGAAGAAGCCTTTTAGCTAGTTTTGGAAAATATGGTGGATGTCAACAAGTGTATTTCTGGGTAAAGAACTACAGTGAAAATAGGTTCAAGATTAAAAAAATTCTATGGACTATGTGGTGGGAAATAAGAAACAGAGCTGGCTTGGGCAGAAGTTGAAGAAACTATGGCTCAATGAAAATGGCTATAGATGTGTGGAAGGTACTCAAAGAAAGTATACAGCCTCAGAGGTGGAGGATACTTTCTCTCAGAGGAGTCAAGGAGACTAAGAGAAGAGGAAAACTAGCTGACTTTGGAAGAGGGCCAGTAGGAAGCTGAGAGAGGCCCTCCATGACTCTGCTAATGTTTTTGGTGAATCACAAGCTAAAGTCAGCTGCAGAAAATGGCAGTGAAGAAAGAGATATCAGGAATTGGGAGGACAGTGGTGACAGCTGAGTAGCTACTGTAGGCTTGGAGGGTCATGCTGAGAAGAGGCATGAGAAAGTATTGTTAAGAACTCCAGAACATCACTGAGGTCTGGGAGTCTATCTGTGGTGATTCCATGCTGTATCTTTCTGTCATTTTTTCCATAATACCCAGCATTCTGGCTATAGGTGTGTGGAAATGAGTTTAATTTGTTACAGAAAGGTACTAAAGAATTAGGAAAAAGAAAAGAAGGAGCTGTAGATTCTGGAGGTTTCAATAATGTTCTAAAACAATAGCCATGAAAGTGAATGGCAGAGCAAGCTTGAAGATTGCGATTCTGTCAGTGACTGGTTGGAATCATGGAGTACAGCTTTAAGGGGTACGGTGCCAAGTGGTGACCTTGTGTGAACAGAATAGGTGTCACATGCATGGCAGGATGGACTGGCAAACAGGTGATATCTTCCAGCTTCCCAGTTCCTTGATCTTAGACAAGGGAAGGTGTAGAAACACCAAAGCTTCACCAGAGTATGGGAGAGAAAACATCAGGAAAGGACTGGAAGGATACAGCATTACCTCACGATCAGGTGCTACACAGAAGTGAAAGACAGGAAAATATTCCCTCAGAAAAGGATAGGAAGACTGACATAAATATCTCCTGCCACAACTTACATTCCCATTCCCTCCTGCCTTGTACAAAATACAATCATTTTTTCCATGAGGAGAGTTCAAAACTCGACTTCCATAACTACTTTTGTGACGGTGGATAACCAGCTGATAAAGAGGTTCATACAATATAGGCACCTTGATCACCGTCATAGCGAATGGTGATAGAGGGAGGACAGAGGCAAGTCCAGAGCTCAGTCCCAGCTCTTAGAGGGAGGCAGAAGACAGAAGATGGGAATGAACCTAAAAAGAATTAAGATGCGGTATGTGCACACACCAACTCCCCATCACGAATGTAATCATCATGTACTGCAATCACGTACTAATAAAAATGATAAAAATCCTCACAACCCCGGACTATTATGTCCATCCACAGTGATAAGCAAAACACAGTGATGGGCAGTACACAACTCCATGGTGTGGTTAGAAGGAATGAACCAGCATAAAAGCATTTCAGAAAATCAAAAGTGCACCAGGACATGAGCATGTTTAGTATGGAACTGCTGGTGCCGCAATGGCTGAGTGGGCAAGAGGACAGGGTGGCTTAGACACAGTGAGGCTTCAGGGCTTCAGGGCAAAGCAATGGTGACAAAGCTGCAAACTGGCTTTAATCACTTTGAAAATAGTTTTCCATTCTATAGGAAAGCTGGGGATGCCTGCCTTCTACAACTTAGTAACTCCACGCAAAGGCTACAAATTAAAAACTGCCCTAAAGCCATGAAGAGTAGACCAGATGAATAAATTCTGGTATATTTGTAAAAAGAGCCTACACAGCAATGAGAACAAATGAATTACAGGCTCAAATAGCAACACAGATGAATGATACACGTGTAATACTTGACCAACCAAAAGCAAAATAAACAATGCACAACTATCTAAATGTACAAAACAACTAAAAATAAGGGATCTGTTTTTGGGGGGAGGGCATGCATAATAAGAATAGTCAAAAAACTATAAAGTCAGGTTGGCAATTACTTGTGCAGAAAGAGACATGAGAAACTGTGTGTTCAGGCATTTCTGAGGAAACTGGCAACATATTTTTCATTTTTTATAAAGTTTACATAGGCGTACTTTTCCCTAGTGTGCTGCATTTCACAATAAAACATATGTTTGAAAGATAGCTAAGTTATTACTACCTTGAGGATTTTCAGCACAAATAAAAATTCAGGCATGCAGGGGAGCCCAAAATGGCGGTGGCTAATCAGAGGCACAGTAATTACTGGGGTGTGGATAAACAGATTTTTATTTTCAGATTTCTTTTTGTTTTTTTGGTGTGTGAAAGGGTCAATTTTGGAAAACTTAAAAACCACACTAGCCTCACTTTTACCTTCAAAACGATACAAAAAGACATGGGAAATAAAATATGTTTTTAGATTTACATTGTATTAAACTAAGAATTACAAATAATAAAACAGCTCTTTTTCCCGTCCCTACTGTTTAGTTGATATCTGGGTGTGTTTGGGGGGACAGCAAGATAGTGACTTCGTTTCAAACTCTCCCATTCCTCATCTTTTTTTGGCTCTGCAGCCCACACCCTGCCTGAACATTGTAACTGCCTAAGAATCAGCCACAACTCATTTTTTAAATGGTGCCAGGTCTTGTACCTACGTTTTAAAAGCCTTCTGGGCAACTCACATGTGTAGCTGAGGTTGAGAATCACATGGACTCGCTATAAAATGTGCATGTGAGATACCATTCTATCCTCAGAGCAACCACTCAAAATGGCACGGTGGGCAGGACAGAGCTCAGAGAGACATGGCAGTTTGCCAAAGCCGGACCTCAGCTTAATGGCACTGGCTCTTTCCACCCAATAGCACATTGGCTACAACTGCAACACACCTTGTGTAGGATGAGTATTGTGCCAGGTAGTGAGGAAAGAGAAGAATTAAACCAAGCTCTTGGCTCTGTTACACACCCACTGAGCCCCTTCGCTTCAGCCTGAGTACCACAGGGAACCTAGATCATCTGGAGAATTCAATGAGCGTGTGAGTGGAGGAGTCTAAAGGGATAGGTGTCTAGGCCCACGGTGTCCCTGATGCCCTGGAGCTCTTCATTACTGAAGGATTCTTTTCCCCACTTGCACATCACTGACCCCTCCCTGGAACATGTCCCAACCATCAGTCCCCAGCCTATGCTCCCAGGGTTGCTTGCTCTACACAAGTTTTCTCTAGGCACAAAAGCCTGGGGAGACCACAAAATGTCAAGTGTTAACTAAGATCAAGAGCAGTGTGACACACTGGGAAGCCATGTGAAAACACGTAACATTGGCCTCAGCCTTTCCTGTTGGTAATAACTCCCATCTACCTTACTTCCTTAAACCATGGCTTTATAATATCGGTATTCTCCATAAATCAACACATGCAAGAGTCATAGGAAACAACAGCTTGGACATCGGCTTCTAACAGAGATGTAAAAGAAAGGCTTTCTCTCCTATTAGAAGAATGTACTGATGGCTGACAGGTGAGGAAGGACTGAGCCTATCAGAATACTTTCTTAAATACTATCAAGATTATAACCACTAGGGCTGGTCAAATAGCTCAGTGGATTAAAGTGCCCACAAGCAGGCACAGTGGCTGGGAGTTTGATCCCGACCCTGCTGTGCCAGCCCCACCCCTGGGGCATGCTGAGACAGCAATTGCGATGGCGTGGTGGCGTGCATCTATAATCCCAGCACTTGGGAAGCTGTAAACACGTGGACCACTAGGAGTTCATTCTAGTAGTGAGACCCTGAACACCCTGTAGGCCCTACCCTAAAATACAGAAAAGAAAAAAAAAATATCATGACCACTGCAAAGAGATTACAGTGACACAATTTAGGAAACCTACAGAATGTGATTGTTAATCTTGACTGTCAATTTAATTGGCTTAATCTACACCTAAGGAATTAGTAAAGCGTACTTCTGGATGTGCCATGGTGAGCCATGTAGCATGACCTTGGGTACTAGACATAGCTCCTGGTCCCTTTCTTTCTTTTTATTTTTAAAGAGAATGCAAAATAGTAATAAAAAAAGAAAAAAACAGAAATGATACAGAATTTCACCAAACAAAATCATATGAATTCAATAGTATTTGTTGTTTTGCATAGTGTTTTCTGCAAATTAGTTGTTCAAATTACCAGGCACATGCACGTAAAATTGGAAAAAGAAAAGAAATGATATAACCAAGATGCAATACAATGGAATATTACTCAGCTATAAGGAATGATAAACTTGAAGCCTTCATATTGAAGTGGATGCCACTTGAAGATATACTCATAAGTGAAATAAACCAGACCCACATGTGTAAATATTGTATAGTCTCCCTGGTATAAGAACTCCAAAGAAGAAATACAAATAGAAGGATATAACACAATTAAAAGAAAAGTGAGAACTTGAGGATTAGACAATGAAAAGAGGACAAAGAGAAAAGCTAGGAAACATGACAGGGGCAAAGCCATGCATTTATACATACAATATGGGTAAGGCAATGATCCTGAGAATTATAAGCAGGTTGTTCAATCTAGCAGTTACTGGGTGGGATTCTTACCCTGACTAAGTCTATATGCTGATACATGAGAACTGAGGGACTGCACTGAAGATAGCAATGTGTAATCGTGGAGTCATGCTTGGAATGCCTGTCATTCTAGTCTAAATATGTACTGCTTGTCATGACATGCCAATTATGGCCAGACTGTATCTCAAGTAAAGTTTTTTAAAGATGTTCCAAAAAAAAAAAAAAGAAAAAAAAGATATAAAAAATTAAGAGAGATAAAAAGGAAAAGAATGAAAACAGAAGACAAAAAAAAAAATTTAAGCATGAACTGCTCCTTTCCACAAACCAGCAGAAATCTGCAGTACAATTACACAAACCTTCCTGCTTCCATACATAGATGTATCTCTTTCCTGCGCTCCCTAACACATTTCCCCTGGTCTGGGCTCCCCAGGGCCATGAAATGAACAGCTTTGCTCTACCAAACCCTTCTGCCATGGTGTGAATTGCTTTGGAGCAAATATACCATGGACTGAACCCTCTGCCACCATGAGTTAAACCTCTCCTCCTTTCACGTGTGGGCATCAGATACTTTTTTTACTTGCAAAAAGATAGCTGAGCAATACAAAGAGCAACATGCTTCCATTCACATAAGAATCTACGAAATGCGATCACCTTGATCGCCATATCTTCAGTCTCTGCGGGACGGAGGCGTCTGGCGGATTGCTCATAGCTGTCCAGGTGGTATCTTCCAGGCTGTTTCCTGTTTATAGTTTTTGGCTGCAGCATTCCAAATAGAAAACAACACAAGTGGAAGTTTAATTTTAAAAAAAGAAAGCTTGGGATTTTACTAAACATTAACTCACATTGCTACTCTACTTAAATTCCAAAGTGAATGTCATATTTCAATATTTTCAATGGCTTTTCCCAAAGAGCAAATAATGAAAAAAAATCCTGAGCTCTCACTTTGAATCTAATATACCAGACTCTGTGGAAAAACGGCAACATGCGTATGTAATAGTTGCAAATGATGAAATTCAGGTGCTGCACTCCACACTGGGTATTATGTATTTTATTCCAGCTCCATGGATGAATCTATCCAAGGAATAGCAAGTGCTGTGTCCTAGCAAAAGGTGATCAGATTAACTCAGATTAAATTAATTCCATTTTTCAGATCCATCGGGCTTACATACATTCCAGCAGTACATTATGGATCATCCTTGGCGTCATGATGACTTTGAATCTGATATACTGATATGAATCATATTGAGCTAGGCATCCCCCAAGGATCTACTGTGGACTGGCAAAGGCAAAAGGTTTGGATTTCTGTGCAAAGATGTGTAGTGTTTCAGAAGGAGATCCATAAATATTATAGGATGATGGAGGCTATCTCAAATGTTAAAAAGAAGATTAAATAAAAAAGCCATGAAAAAATGCTAAAGTCTCCATCAATAGACTAAAACATCAATTTGATTGATGGTGTCAGCTGTGATAAAAGTCTTCATATATGTTATTAAAATTAGATCATAAGTAGAAAATTCTCATTCTCTAATCCTTAGTTTAATTTTTTACATATATAAAAGAAAAATTTCAAAAGGTAAAATAGAAAGTTTAGCTCTATAAATTTTCAGGCTTTTAAATTTATTTATTTACTTACTTATTTGGTACATGGTCATGCTACGTAGCTCAGATTCATAGTGATCCTCCTGTCTCAGCCTCCCTAGTGCTGGGATTACAGTCATGTGCCAGCTCAGACTCATAGTGATCCTCCTGTCTCAGCCTCCCTAGCGCTGGGATTACAGTCATGTGCCACTAGCACAGCACGCCCAGGGTTCTAGGGCTGGCATGGCATGCAGTACTGGGGATTGAATCCAGTTTGTTGCACTTGCCAGGCAGGCACTTAAACCACCACGCTACCTCCCAACCCCTAATTTCCAGTTGGGAAGAATTTGTAAGTTTAAAATTTGTTCCAGGAAACTAGCAAGCAAATATTTCAATGTAAATAATTATCTTCCTTATTTAAATATCTTGCAGAGGTTATTAAGGATAAATTGTAATACTTTAACTGGTAAGTTACCTAGAAAAACAAAAGGCTCTAGAATGGTAAAACTTTTAAAAAAAATTCTGGCCAAGAATTGCAGGTTTAGCTTTACAAAAACTCCAGAGTTCTACTATGGGAATTAGGAATGTCTTCAAATAATCAGTAATTTAATCCAAACAAGATATTGTTTTTCCAATTTCCATCGATTGTTGTCCCAACAGAACATCAAACTATCAAATAGCATAATTCTAGGCTTCATGCAATTAAAGACCAAAAAGCCACTAAGAAAATCAATAGCACTATCAGTGTTATGTCACATGGAAAATACTAAAAACATTTTAACTGATGAGAGAGAGCATATGTGTGTGCTCATAATTTTACTTCAGTTTTGCTTTTTATTCGCATAGCCATGACCGCTGCAGAAGTGTACAGCATAAAAGCTGTAGAAAGCTACTATAATTTAGGATGAGCGTATTTAAGCATATTCTTTACCACATTTTCCACCCAAAGCAAGCTTACACCTATAAAAATTCACTGTCATCTTAGTGCTTTTAATTCTATAATAGTGTTGCCCCTAGAGGTCTAAACGGAATGACTTCATGCTCATCACAAAATTGAGGAGAGGGTGGGAAGAGGAGATGTGTTGACAGAGAGTTGAGTTGGAGTTCCACAGATGTAATTTGAAGAGGTTTTTGGCTCTGGAATGTCACTAATTCTCCATGGAGATTCTGCAGCCAAAACCACTTAACTCGAAGCGTTTATAGAATACATAGCATCTTCAGTACTCTCAAGAAGGAGTTTCCATGAGTGTTATTTTCAAACACACAGCTTTTTTCACTCCATTTTTAAAAAGCTTGCCGTTTGTGGTTTGGCCCATGAGCAGTGATGAATGACCCCGAAAGACATCAGAAGTCCAGTCTGGTTTCAATAACCCTGAAGATATTGGATGCATCTGAAGGGGATTCTTTTCCCTTTCAAAAATTTTTCTCTTGGTTCAATATTCCTTCTATCCTTCATCTCAGGCACAAAGTTGTTCAGCTTCCTCTAATTCCATCTCCTTGCTTGAGGTCATCTCTCTTTGCTCAGCCTCAGACCTCTGAAAGATGATCCAATGAGCTCTTTAGTAGGCTAAGAGCACCCAACGCGTGATGAGGGCAGTTCTAATTAAAGATTTGATTCCCACACCTCAAAGGGCTGATGCGCTTTACAGTATCCACTTTTACGTTTGGTCTGTGCCCATGCAACACAAGCAAGCATCTTGACACAATGTCAACCACACTGCAGATAAGCATGCATGCTAACTCCTCCGACAAAGCACAGCTGCTCAATAAAGCAACTGAAAAGAAAGTTTTAAAAAAACTCCAGAAAATCTAAAGAAAACTGTAAGTCTAAATATAGCCAAGTGTTCTTCTTAGCTATTTTTAGAAGTTTTAAGCATAATGTGAAGAAAAATTGAAGATAAATAGATGACAGACAGACAGACAGACAGACAGACAGACAGACAGACAGACAGACAGATAGATAGATAGATAGATAGATACATAGATACATAGATACATAGATAGATACATAGATAGATATATAGATAGATACATAGATAGATACATAGATACATAGATAGATACATATAGATACATAGATACATAGATAGATACATAGATACATAGAGATTTCCTTTTCAAATATTACCAAGTCCACACATCTCCAGGCAGAAGATGGCATGGGCATTTTGTGGGGTCACATACAGTGTAGCTAGGCTCATATTTTTCCAATGCTTACATGAATAACTAATAATAACTTCTCAGATTCACTTTGAATGAGCATATTTCTACTTTATTATTATTATTAAGTACATACTACTTTGAATAAAATTCTTTCAGATATACTCGTTTAAAAAGTGGTGTATTCTTCCCATTAATTTAAATGTTACCTAAAGGCTCATGACTCATAGATTTATATTCCAATGCTAGAATCTCTTCTCTAATGTCAGTATCTCAAAGTTATCATACACAAAATATACCTTTTGAGTCCACCTCAACACCATCTCTCATTTCTCATCCCCTGCTTCAGCTTCTGGCTCCACGCCTACCAGGAGTCAAGTCAAGACTCCCGGTCCATTCCTCAGTCTTCTCCCTACTTCCTCTCTTCTTCCACCCAGTATATTAGATCAATACCACACATTGAATTTGTTTACTTCTTCACAACCTCCACAAAATCCACTGAACCACGAAAATCTAACTTTTTCCAGGCATGGTGGCAGATGCCTGTAATCCCAGCACTTTGGAGGCTGAGGCAGGAAGGTTGCTATGAGTTAGAGGCCAGATTGAGCTACTTAGTGAGACTCTCTCAAAAAGACGAAAAAAAATTGAAAAATCTAATCCTCACCATCATCTCCTTGCCCCATCTTATGATAATGACTTCTTCCCTGATCTACCTGTCCCACTTTTTGTCTCTATTCACCTTGCTACACAGTAACCTCTGTGATTGTTTAAAAAATTAACAAAATTATACTACTGTAACTTTCCCATGACTTTTTATTCATCTATTTTAAGGCAATAAAAATTAAACTCTCTCCATGGTCTTCAAAGGCCCTTGTCTCTTCTTTTGTTTCTTCACCAGGATCCAACAGTCCTTAAAGAAACCAAATTAATTCCTCTTCAAGTTCTCTGCATTTGTCAGTCCACCTGCCAGGAATGCTTTCTCTTTTTGGCACTGTCCCTTTGCGGGAGAGGTACCTACTCTTCGTTCAGGTTTTAGCTCAAATGCTGGCTTTGTAGTGGGGCCTTTAGCAAATGTCACCCTGCTGCAAGTGTCATCTTCACTCTATTGTATCCTTATTTTTTCACGTGGTGAAATTATCTTATTCTTTTGTGTATCTCTTGACTCCTGATTCAAGAAAGTAGTCTGTGGTAGAAAAGGCTTTATATGCCTTGTTCGTAGCTCCATGTTGGCACAAAATATGTGGAAAGTCATAACATATTCCATATAATACATATTCAATATAATATATGTTCACAATAATATATTCAACATACTATAAATAACCAACATCTATTTTTATATAACATATATTTTCAATATCATATTGATTCTTTCCAGACTTCATGTAAATACTGAGTCTGGAAAGGGATGAATGAACTGACTGGTCTACAAGCTATAAGATTGATTTCAATTCTGGCTTTGCCCCTTACTAATCGTCAAACTTTGTTTAAGCTGCACAACTCAATGCAAACAACATATTCAGCTAGAAATGAAAAAAAAAAAAAAGCCTTACATTAAATGATCAAAATAAATAACATAAAAAATAGGCTTTGAACTAAAAGTATAATATAGCTAAAAGATGCAAGAATATGGTATAGTGATAGTAGGTTTATTGTATTTTTATAAAAATCTTGGGGTAAATAACACCCCACACCCTTCTTCATAGTGAGAAATGCACTTACAACTCCAGTGTGTTTCTTACACGACTCGAAAGGCAGAGAACCTTCACCAGTTCGCCAGCTATCATCCCCTATCTCATCACTCAGGAGAAACTCGTTGAGCTTTTGGACACTGCAAAGGCAGAGAAACAGACACAGTTAGGATCAGCAATAAAGTTGCCACCCACAAACATGCTGCCTATACAATCAAGCCTTCCCCCACTAGGTATCACTGTGAGCAGGCTGCTTTTGAATTACTTGTCCACACCACCTAGAAATCAGCCAACTGTGAAATTTTCTGAATTGCCCAGGACTCGAAGGCCCTTAGGATGTAAGGGTTTTGGTACCAACATGGAAAAAATCTTAGGAAAACCAGGACCATTAGTCATCCCAAATTCAAAGTAACTTCCTTTGCTTGCTTGCTTGCTTCCTTTCTGTCTTTCTTTCTTTCTTTCTTTCTTTCTTTCTTTCTTTCTTTCTTTCTTTCTTTGTTTCTTTCTTTCTTCTTTCTTTCCTTGCAAAGATGGTAGTTTGAAAGAGACTTAGAATATGGAGGTTACAAATAATACCAATGAGAGGAATATTCTTATAATTTTTTTCAGAGGGTAACTGAAGTATAGATAAGTAACTTGTTCAGATCCTTTTATCATGTCATACATAGATCTAGTACCACCCTGCACCTAGCACTATCTGTACCACCCTGCTTCAGCACTATACATGGTGTTTATTTTCTGAACTTGGAAATGAGAGGATCTCTAGAGTCTTGTTACTAAAAGAATCCACAAAAGTCCAGTCTCAGGAACACCTGAGAGCCTATTGGAGAAGAGAAGCTTAGACATACTAGGACTTATAAAATATACATTTTAATAACATCCAGAAGTGCTTCATGAACAAGGAACCATTTCTAAGATTCTGGAAGAATGGTTTGTGACACCACTGGGCAAGGCCAAGATTCCTTGGCTCATTCCTCTCAGCCTAACTTTCTTAGGCAACTTTCATAGGAAGAGGAGCAAAAGTAAGCATAAAAGGATCTGCAATATGGTCATCCTCTTATCAGTAAAATAATACATTAAAAACAATTTTGTGAAGCTGCAAAGGAAAAGAATTTCTGAATTATACGGGAAGTGCTGCCTTTCATAGGAAACTAGAAAATAGATATGCAAAACAAAAGCTCCATTTTAAATTTTTTAGAATATCCTTTGAGGAACAGTTAATGATTTTTTTTCTTTTTCTACTCTGATATTTTTCCTTTTTCTTTTCCTCTTTTGAGTTTCTTATAATTCCTTTGTTGCTGTTTTGTTTTATTTTTTCTTTAAATGAATTTTACACATTTATATCTGGTAATCTGAGCAACTAATTTGAAGATAGCATCATGTAATCCAGCAACCATTATTGAATTTCTATCACTTTTTGAAATCTTCTATTGTTTCTAATGCTATTTTTTTTTAAAAAAAAATCACTATTTTGTATTCTTTAAAAAGAAAATTTCCTTTGAGCTCTAGTCAAGTTCAGTACCTCTAAGTAGGTCTGACAAGTTTGTTTTTGTAACAAGCTATTAAAACAAATTTAATTCAGTCTGTCGCTCATGATCTTTAAGAGCTTTGCCTCCGTAGGCTATCAGAACACAAAGGTAGATAAACACAGAGGAGCAGTCTAACTGTTGGCTTCCTAACTGTGCTTCCAGAGAACTAAAAGGACTTGTTTCAAAAGAGCTGCAATTTGTAAATTCGTAGTCTCCATTAGCCAAGTCAGACCAGGCTGACTTCAAAGGCACAGCAATGGAAGTGACTTGAGAAACAGCCCTTTATTTGTCTTAATGACTTTAAGGCAATTACAGAGTTTATTGGTCATTTTGCTCTTGCGTTTTGAGGAGAAGTGTTCTCCAGGAGTGCGGCTTGGTCTGTGACAGGCACACCTTTTAACAACCTCATCCCGGGCCACGGCACACGCAGAGGAGAACTGTGGCCATGTGCGTCGGCCTCTGCAGCTTCAAGTCCAGCTGTGCTTGGCACACATTGCTCTGTGAAGGCTTCTTCAATGAATCAAAGAAATAAAGTAGTGGCTCAGACATTAAAGGTGTTACTCAACTCTCATTGTTCATTGTTCCAGTATACACACAATTCTTACTGAAGTTTTTATGGAATAAACAAGGTCCACTCTTGTGGAACATCAGGAAGTGATGATCCGTCAGCTTGACTGAGGGCGAGAAACCTACCCCAGAGGATAACATCCCTCTTGGAACTTCAGTTACAGTGAGTATCAATGGACCTCCATTGCCAGCTCTTTTCTAAACATCTTGTCTCCCCTTCCTTTATTTCATTTTGTTTTGTTCTGGTTCATTGGTAAAGATTCCCTTGTACTCCTATTTCCTCATTGCTTTATTAACCATTAGTTACTATCTTATATGCTACACTGTCAACTCATCAAAAACAAAGATTTTAGGCATAATATGGAACAGGTATTTTTCATCAAGTATTGATATGGTGAACTTTAAGTCCCTACAGAATATGATAAAAAAAAAACATTTAAAAATTAGAATATATTTTAAAAATAGGCATAAAGAATTATATACTTCTCATGTTTGCACAAAAGTCCAAAAATCTCACCATATACAACCTTGAAGCAGGACAGTCCTACAGTATCCCTTTTCCTGTCTCTTGCT